TACTTAGACAGATTAATAGGGATCTTAATAAATTTAATGTATTTTAATAGTAAAGTGAGATAAAGATACTGATTATTGACTATTTGGTTGGAAGTATAAAGACCAGGGGTATATTAAATCATCATATACCTAGTATATCATATGTGCAAGTAAAATATTGGATTAATCAAATAATATATAACCTATTTAATAATACTTTGAAGTGAGATGTATATTTACAGCTTATATTTTTGTTGATTCATAAGTTTTCTTTACCTGAGAAATACTATTTATAAGAGGCTCATTCAACAGGGCTTGCCGTGCTGCTGCATCCCCTGCAACTGCTTTACTAGGTCCATGACCAGAGCCTAAATGCTTATTTTGCCAGCCCCAGCCAGTAAGATAAACACCCACATAGAAAGTCTGCATCCCACCTCTTGACTGTACAGGTGAACGCTCATCAACATATTTGAGCTTAACTCCTTTACCCATAATTCTCTTTGCAAGGGTCTCCTTTGCATCCAAAGCAGTCCGCGGTATCACAGTATCTGTGAGCCTTGGGAGCCATAGCTGTGTCAACCATCGTTCAGCAACATGATAACCATCAGTCGGACGAGACAAAATAATCGCAGCCACATAGGACTCGAAGATGTCACCCTTAGTCTTGGTCCATCGCCTGGACTGGTTAAGCAAGTCCTGTGGTACCGACGCCCTGCCGTCAAGCCCGTATAATGTCGCAAACTCAGACAAAGTCTCATTCTTGACCAGTAACTCCCTTATTTGCGAAATCTGACCAGAAGAAAGATCTTCGAACCTGCTCCAAATGAGCTTCGTAGCGATCAGCTCTATATAAGCATCTCCGAGTATCTCAAGGCGATCGTAAGTCGACTTCGAATCCTTGCTCAAGCCGGGATGTGTAAAGACCGCCAATTCCAGTGAACTGTCCAAAATAGGAGGTAAGTCAGGTATGCTGAAGGAATTCCCATTTTCTTGCGTACGGGCGAATTCGACTGAGTTATTGTCTGGACGGCTGATGGGCGACAGAGCAGTCTTTGCACGGCGGAAAGCCTTGTCCAACTCGATAATAGCATTCGTAACATCATGCCCAGCATGATCCCTTAGAAAATCAACAGAGCCGACAAGCTCTTGTGTCAAAGTTTTTAGAAGGCATAGGCGAGAACGCCTATCCTGCGTCAATGAGCGTTCGCCATCAGAAGGCGCCTCTTGAGCATCTCTCCCGATGCGACAGGCCAATGAAGATTGATCAGCTTCCTGTAACGGGGCCTTCGAGGTAGCACGAGTCTTGGGCTTTCTGCCGTCATCGTCCACAGGTGGATCGAAAACAGATTTTCTCTTCAGAACCATTAGGAAATATCGAGATTTGGGATGTTAGCTTGTGGTGTTCTGTTATCACTTGGTAGGGGGAGGTCACACACCAGTCACATGACCCATGTCGCAAACCGCCGTCTTTCTTTCTTCGTGCACTGGAACTTCCGAACCAGAAACTGAGCTCCGCAGCAAAAAATGGCAGCTTCATGTAGCCGGATACTTGAGTTGGCCAAGGTATGCTGCGGATTAACCCCTGGCCTTATTATTGCGTTACCTTGCTGATGATCTCGAGACTCAATGTCGTATATTCTCACTCAATTTTAATCCGCAGAGGCTGCGACTGGGCAATAAAGTTCTACGTCAGCGACTGCGAGGACCTGCACTTGCGGCGTGGTATCCCAGAAAGACTGTTTCATTCCGTGACTTGCAAGATGCCTATCGTCCGCTCGGCTTGACCGTCTTCGACGAGTATGAGGACGATCGGGAAGAGGCCATTCAAATGTAGGTCACAACACACATTTCAGGGTAAAACCTTAGTCGCTGACTACGCCTAGTGCAAAACTGAGGGGAAAGGGAAGGCCGAAGAAAAAGCGAACTGCAGCTGGTATGACACTTATACTTGTTCAAAGACTCCTGCTGACCAGTATACAGAATCACGATCGGCGAAGAAGAAGAAATAACCAGTACCATACTGGAGTCACCATGCCCTATTTGGTCGGCATACATCAGACACAGCTCAGTTTGCGATCCGCTGACACACCTTAACTGCAAGATACTGCCGTTCAGTTTTGTGTATATTTCACCTTCATTGTTACCTCAAATCCCTTTCAAGATATTCGGGACATCTTCCCGCTCGAATATGAACCCATCTCACAAAACTTGCCTGATCAGTGTTGCCCTCCCCGAGTCAGCGGCTCGTGAGCTCCCATGTTCTGAAGAAGGCGTTCGAGACTGGACTAATGGCGTACGCGATCCACTTCACATTTAACAGCGCCTTTTCGCTTCGATTCACATGCTGGTTGTACCGAATACTCATTGTATTGTATACTTCGGAAATCTATATCAAAACTGGGCATGATAAGTTCCTCATTTTGCACATAAACTGGTTATATCCTGATGCGGTTGTTCGAACATGTAATGGCTCGAGATTCGCCAAGGCTCTTATCCAGTGTCGAAGTATCGCGGCCTGGGTAGGACAAAAACTGGGCGAAGCGGGTTAGACATATAGATAATTGGAAGAATTTCGCGTAAGGACAGGGTCTTTGCAGATCAAGGTGAAAAACCCAGAAGGAAGGTGAAAGAATATTGGTTACAGAAATGGTGGCCCGATTTGATTTGGCCGCTTAAAGTAAAAAAGTGAACATCGCTACGATATGTTGACGCAGTTTCTTGTCGCAGATGTATTCACAAGCTTAACAAAGCATACTAAATGGACGTTACCATAAGTACAAGTTTGAATAGATAATCAAACCTGCTCCTGGCGCTTAGGAGAGGGTATATCAGTAGGGTTCAGCCGGAGTCGAACCACTACTAGTATACAACTTGCAAGTTTGCGACGCTGGGTATCATCGGACCTTATCTATTTCAGCCTGGCAGCCTGCGTTAGTCAGAGCGGGAGCGGATAGCAAGGATGGCAAACTGAACTCTTGGCACCAACTCGATTTTAACCACCATCAAAGGCCTCTTGCACAACTTACAAGCCGGTTCAGTGATTACGTCTGTATTCAACACAGTCAAAAGTCATACCGACGCTGTTCTTATTTTTTCATATATCTCTTTTGCCCTGGTTGAATTCGGATCATGAAACAGAGCAAGAATCAACTGCGAAGGGCCAGGAAAAAGGCCTTGAAGACGAAGGTAAGTCGAAAGTCACCATCGATACGATGCAGCGAAATGAGATCTGACATCAAATAGGCGGTTGAGAAATATACTGATGCTTCCGATCAAGCACCCGAAACGCGGAGCCCGCGTTTAGTTGGCCATCCCGATGCTGCCAATAGCTCTCCCTGGGAGGTGGACCCAGACACCGGCGATTCGCTATGGCAGATGTACAAGGATATTGCCAGAAAGTTTGACGAGAATGAGGACGAAGTAAGGCCATTGGTACAGCCTGAAAAACCGGAGGTCTATTTTGATGAAGACGATGAAATTCCGGACGAAGATGACAAGGGACCGAAATTATCAAAAAAGAGGAGAAAAGAATTAACGAAGCTTTCTGTCGCAGAACTCAAGGCAATGGTTCGAAAACCGGAAATCGTCGAGTGGACAGACACGTCAGCCCCTGACCCAAGGCTTCTCGTCCATATCAAGGCTCACAGAAATGTTGTCCCTGTGCCTGTTCACTGGTCGTTAAAAAGAGAGTATCTGTCTTCAAAGCGAGGGGTTGAAAAACCGCCTTTTGCCCTGCCTAAGTTCATACAGGAGACGGGTATCTCAGAAATGCGAGATGCTGCTTTGGAGAAACAAGAACAAGCAACCCTGAAACAAAAGCAACGCGAAAGGGTCCAACCCAAAATGGGGAGACTGGATATAGATTATCAAAAACTTTATGAGGCTTTTTTCCGCTTCCAGACGAAACCGGAATTGACTCGTTACGGTGAGGTTTACTACGAGGGCAAAGAATATGAGACAAACCTTAGACATTTACGCCCTGGTGAGCTCAGCGCTGAGCTGAAGGAGGCTCTCAATATGCCGCCCGGTGCACCTCCGCCCTGGTTGATAAACCAACAACGATATGGACCACCGCCGTCATATCCGGCTCTGAAAATCCCAGGTCTTAACGCTCCTCCGCCTCCAGGTGCCATGTGGGGCTATCATCCTGGCGGGTATGGCAAACCGCCTGTGGATGAACATAACCGGCCACTTTACGGTGGCGACATATTTGGTGTGCTACAACCACAGCAAACTGTGCAACAAGGAGAGCCTGTTGAAAGAGATCTATGGGGCGAGTTGCAGGAATCTGAACCTTCGGATGATGAAAGCGAGGAGAACGAGGATGAACCTGAGGACGATGTGGATACTGAAACAGGCTTGCAGACTCCCAGCGGATTAGAGACACCTGGCGGTATAGTGTCAAGCGTTCCATCTGAATATATTGGGGCGGAGAACGTTGCAGGCGAATTTGACGTGCGCAAGACTTATCGAGGTACCCAGACGGAGGAACATGTGGGACGTCGAAGTGCTTTTCAGGTCATCCCAGAGAAACAAGCCCATGTACAGGGTTTCTTTGGGGCCGATAGAGTGTACGATCTCAAGGCGCCTCCGGAGGGCTTACCAGTGCTCGGCGCTGAGGACCCAAATCGAAAACGGAAGAAGCCTGGTGATGTCGACGTGTCCGTTGATCCAGACGCATTGCAAGTGAGCGATGGGATGAGTAAAGAAAACCTACGAAGTCTTTACGAGTCACATAAGCACCAAGAGACCAATCCCAACTGGGATTTCCAAGAAGACTTGAGTGATATGATCGCTTATGAGAGTCGGAAGAGATTGAAAAAAGATGAGGATCGACGAACGAAGCATTGAGGCCCGGTTCTGAACGACAATTTAGGTAGCTGTACCATCGCGTCCCTCTTTTGGCGCATTAGCTAAACAAGTTCCAATGCCATAATAGTAATGAGCCATTTGCTGCTCATAATAGCCGCTCATTCTTCCTTTTTGTCCATCCAAGACTTCCGAAGACTTCCGAAGACTTCCAAGTGTCTGGTCAGACAATGGAATCACAGTCACTAGATTGAGCAGGACGGCCTCCAAAGGGTTCGCTCATAGAATATAGTTTAAGCTGGTTACCTATTGTCCTAGAATTGCAGGTTTTCGTATTATGAATGACAAGCTGGTTACGCCGAATTAACTTTAGGTTCGCTCCGCTCACTCCCAGCGCAGGGCTCGAAATGCTACTATAGTAACCTCTTGCTGCTGATCCCATATAGCCTTATACTTATTCAAGGTAGTAACAATCGGGGTGCAGTAACTGGCAATGGCTACGGCTACGGCTACGGGGAGAATGTATATAGGCGAGGGCCATGATGGCAGTAGACAGCCCTATAATAGCAGCGCTATACTCCGTAGCAAAATTTATACTCCTTAGTATATATATACAAATAAGGGCAGCTCTACACAGGAGATCCTAGATAGATGTCGTTAAGGCAGTGGAAGGCTTGGAAGGTGGAAGCTTTAGGGGTAGAAAGGTAGCAGAGAAACAGAGAATTAAGGCCAGAAGGAAGACACATAGAGGCTAAACTAAAAGAGGGAATTTTACGAAAGTTGATCATCTATTAAGGAATGACTGAGCTGATTATTCTTTTTTCCTGATAAGCTTTGATAGCCACCTTGGTGCCTTCGTTCAATTTGAACGTGATTTGATCGGTCATTGAGAGCCAATCACACGTGACTTAATAGCCGACATACAATATGGGGTATGGCTGATGCATTTCATCGAAAAGATACAGATTTCTCTCTCGAACCGAACACCCGTCATCTCGTCCTGTCAAAAGGGGTGTTACATCTGAAAAAATTTATCATTACATATATGCTGATGACAGCTATTAGACACTGCTATAGCAACATTCTACGTCAAACGTCGCGGAGCTTTGAGCAAGATGGACTGGGAACGCAGTAGAAGGTAGCGTTTTCGTTGACATTTCCTCCGAGACAACTCTTTGCCTAATGGGGTCTATCATACTAGGTTCGAAGATCACCGTGGTAGGGAGAGCTATCGACCGCCAGCTCCTCGTGGCTACAGCCGTCACACATCCCCAACACGAACTCGTTCACCTCGGCTCGTCGCTGATACATGGGTGCCCTCCCCTAGTCGACACTACGGCCGTTTAAGAAGTCGTTCACCGTTGCCTTTCAGACGCCATTCTCGGAGCCCCCCTTACCGGCACAGAGACTCCGAGCCTGGACTATTTCTAAACAGTGCCCCAAGGAGATTCTCGCCTAGACGAGATGCACGCCTCCGATCGCCTCAGATTGGGTGGCGTCCGCGTTCACCATATGGTGACCGCCCTCGTGATAGCTCTCGCGGTCGATCTACCCCTAGACGGCGAGACCCAAGCCCTCCTAGGCAGGGCTTTACATACTCGAAACGAGAGCGCTACCCATCAACTGTCGATCGTTACAAAAAGTCTGCTTCTCCCCTAAGGCGGGTTCCAGGTCGTGCCAGTGATATCACTCCCTTGACGACAAGCCATCGTCGACGGAGTGCTTCACAAGAGTTCCGAGATCGTCGTCCAGATAACAATACGAGCCAGGCGCGGCCTTCGCCTTCGACTAGGGCTGCTTCAACTATCCACAATTCAACTTCTAGCTCTCGTACGGACTCAAGGCGCTCATCCCCTTTAAATGACAGGACAAGTGCGACTGTACGCGAATCGAGAAGCGGGTCACCAGTGACTAGAGACTTTCCGCAGCGCCGCCTGTCTGTATCTTCTGATCATTCCTCATCTCGCCAAGCTGAAACAATCTCGCCAAATGAACACAAAAGTGAAGAAGAGGCAACAGATATGCCGCCAACTTCAGTGCAAATCGCTGCACTGTCAAATGATCGTGGTGTCTCCGACTCCAGGTTGGGGCGTCCAGAGAATAACCTGGAGCCTGCGGATGCAATTTCCAGCGCTACTCCTCAAAGTAGACCGAGAGCCGTCTGTACATCGTATGACCAGACTGCATCGCCCAACATATCTGCAGGGCGCAAGCCGTCATTCAACACTCGGGGCTCCATGGTATCCCTACTTTCTGCCCCGACTCGCCCTCGCGGAAATTTGAATCCGAAGGATTTTCCTCGTTCTACTCGTCGTGGACACGGGTCAATCTCGCAAGCAGCTCCTCCGACCGGGCCGCGTCATGGTCACATCCCGACTGGACCGAGTGTTGACTCTGATCGGCAGCATATCTATCGGCAAAACAGCTTATCGGGGATGTCTTATCCTCGCCAAAGGCCCACCAATTACCTTGCCGGCCTCAATACAATTGTCCCAGGGGGCAGGCTTCTGACATACGACCTAGATACTGCTGTGGAAAAGAGGCTTGCCCAGTTAGAGATGGACAAAGAACGGCTATTTGAACAAATTGCAGATAGCCAAAGGCTGAAGCACCTTGTCATTAGAGACTGGGAACGGCTAGATAGAGAGAGCTCTATCTGTGCTTTGAAGAGTGAGTTAGCTGAGGGTCATTTGCTATGTATAACTGATGGCGAGAGCATGCATACAAGTACCACATTTTAAGGAGAAGCTGGGGTCAAATGACAGATTCTTTTTTGGTGATTCAATCCTATGCCTGAGTTTAATTTACTTTTCAAAACAGGCGTGCAGTGGAAAAGTTCGATCAGATGAGAGGGGACGAATTCAAATCATTTGGTCTTGCACTGGAATATTCAACTGAAATGATGTATCACAGAGAGGTATAGCCAGCAGGTACCTAGTAGATTAGCGGAAAGAATGAGGTTGGTCTGCGTAGTACGGAATATCATTCGGACCGACGTATTGACAATTGTAGCATAACTACGCAACGCGTCGTGTCGGGCCTTGGCGCGCAAGCTGAGGCTTCGTGTCAATATCTTAATATCCAGTATCCACTTTCGCAAACTGGATAATACCACTACGTCTGTGGATGACTTTACCCATTCACTCAGCAACTTGCAATTGCCTCTATGAGTGCTAAATATTAACATCCTCTTCATTGTGGATGTGATTGTATCCCTGCTCCCAATCCATCAACATCAAGACTCGCAGATTCTCAACTTCCAGCTTTGCTAGGAAGTTCATTTGACCAGTATGAATATCTTCAGGTTATCAGGTGAGCAACAGTATTATATCTCCTCATCAACCGGCCCTATCAGACTGATATACTTAATAGCTGATTTTTCTCATTTAATATCCATCTTCATCCTCTTGCATAAGATGAAGTCTTCTAGTGTACGACATTCCGATTAATTACGCTGATATAAATCTGACGCAGAAATGTAGAGCTGCTCTGGTTTATCTTTCAAATCACAAGTTTTGTATCTGCTGGTCTTTCTCACACGCTATCTTGGTGAGTCCTTTGCGCTTCCTATGAGAAGCTTCCATTAACCATTATGACGGCCTAGATTTATTCTGGACTTTCACCGACTCCTTATACAACACCACCTTTAAGGTCCTTTTCATCAGCTCATCGGCTTACATTATCTACCTAATGCTCAACGATTACAAACCTACCCGGGATCCCAATTTGGACACATTTAAAGTCCAATACCTTCTAGGGATCAGTGCTATCTTGGCCGTCCTATTCCCACATGATTACAGCATTTCGGAGGTCTGTTACTTTCTCAGAAATGAAGAGGCCTGAGCTTCCTCTAACGTTTCTCAAGATACTCTGGACCTTTTCCATATGGCTTGAATCCGTCGCTATCCTTCCACAGCTTTTTATGCTCCAGCGCACCGGAGAAGCAGATACTATCACCACACATTACCTCTTTGCCCTGGGACTCTACCGCGCTCTTTATATACCTAATTGGATTTACCGTTACTTCGCAGAGAACCGCTTCCAGCCGATACCCGTCGTTGCAGGTATAGTCCAGACGCTCCTGTATTCGGACTTTTTCTATATCTATTACACAAAGTGAGTCAATTGCCCTCGCATTATTTTTAACGCTAGGCTAATGGAGAACAGGGTAATGAAAGGGAAAAAATTCTCTCTCCCGGTCTAGGTGGCGACAGGACAGTTCAGATGGGTGGTGATCTAGCCGATACGGAAGGGTAGAAGCAAGATTTTCCCCTGATTCCGATGAATGAATCAGTTCATATTACTCTGAACAGAACATGTGTGCCTTGTGTCAACCTGTATGTCTATCATTAGAAGCCCTTTGAAAGCATAAGGGTGTTAGATATGTATTGTATACATCATTTTACAAGCCCAACAAGCCTCCCAATTCTGCATTGTTACCTCGCACCTGCTGCTTGTAGGCATCTTTATACATCCTGGTCGTATGAATAATCTCAATTAAATGGAAAACAGACGATTTTCTCGGATATTTCATTCTAAGCCCAGGTACCGTATATGCGGTGTGCATGGGGAGACATGAGGCAGACAGGAGCTAGACGCAGTCGCACCCTTGCTAGCTTCTTTGTTTCCATCTTATAGATAGTCAACCTCGTGTTAGTAGCATAATTTCATTTAAAGTGATATCCTGGGTGCATCAGTAGCCGGCCCACATGGGGTATACATCTTTGGGCCCTAGAGCAACAACACCACTACTTAACAGTACTGGGCATTTATCCTCTTTCACTGGTACTTGCACAGCCATGGAGAATCTGAACACCGTTGTACAATGTAGACACATTAAGAGAATAAAATGAGGAGATCTTCAGATATTTGAAAATATTCTAAAGGGCCTGAATCTCACATAGCGCGAAATCAGCCGCTCCGCAACCATGTTAAAGACTGCTGGATGCTAGGATACTTTGACCGGTTCAAATCCGAATGACTAGAAGTCTCGATGATTCGCCTGCTCATTCGCAGTTGCATATGCCGGGCCATAACTGAGCTGAGACAAGTCATCGCCGTGGAAGGCATCTGATGTCATGGATATAGGACTTGGCAGGTTGGCCACCGATGCTCCGCTCAGCGATCTCACAGAACCTGCAATGAGGCCAGATCGTCCAACTGCGTCAAGATAATTACCTGACCAGCCAGCGCGACCATTTAATTGACTCAAATAGTCTGCTTGCGCCCTTTCCAGGGTGGGTTGGCCATATAGAATCGACTCTCGCCTAGAAGTTGGGGGGGAAGGAAGTCTGTGTGAACGACTCGGAGGCTCAAGTCGAGGGGAACTTCTGCTTGAACTAGGGGGCGTCAATCGTGCACCACCCCGACGAACTCGGCATGTAGGACATATCTTGACGAATCGGGAAATGAGCTCTTTCGGGACCCTTCAAGACTAGTTAGGAGGACCAATGGTGATAGTAGCATCATTCCAGGTATGGTACGAGCTTGAGCAGCGTCTCAAGCAACAGGGATGGAGATTGCTTACCAGGAATATATCTGCCGGACCTGTGCTGATGTTTTATCCCTACCGCCATGCTGACATTGCTGATGTGCCCTCGTGAGTATTTTAAAGAGCTTTTCTCGAATGGCTACAGGTTTTCCTTCGTGACAGATAATTTTTGCGCACTTTGATCCGAATCACCATATTAGTGCAAAGAGGCTCCTTGAACCCAACAGATGAAGTACAAACATTTGAGGATTCAATGCCAACAATTTGAAGTTTGAACATCTTTTTCACCCAGAATCTATTTTCAACAACTTAGCAACCTTTCCTTCATGAGGAGAATGGCAAGCAAGTGCCCAGACTGACACACAAAAGGGCAGGAAACTTGGGACCACGAGTTTGGGACCGGGGAAAGGTACCTGAATTGGGCTGATTCAATGGCAGTATCTTTTGGGTCGATCAGGACAGTCCTGATGTTCCGTGCTCTTCTGGCATGAATCAATGCTTTGTCTTGTTTCTTGACTGATAGGTCATCCACATAACTGTTGTACCACGTAAGTGGGTGTACTTCAGTGCATAAATTGAGAGGCCGTAATGAAACAGCTTACCATCTTATCAATTGATCAAATTCCCGCACGCTAGGAAAACCCTCCAATGGAGGAATAACTGGCTCTGACAGCATCGTGTTCTCATTGAGAGATTCCTGGCTCTCTATTCCTATCTCACTGATTGCTTCACGAAGAGGTAGATACCTCGGCGACTGCAAATATCGCGCTTGCCGTGCACATTGTGCGGGTCGGGGCTGCACGACTTCATCTTCTGGGGCGACCGGAATGGAGTGCATAGGTGATTGACTGATGCTGGTAGGTAAGCCAGCCTGAGTGTAGGCGGGTCCAATTTGAGGTGCGTATGAACCGAACGTTTGCTGAGAGAAATGATGTGGTGCCGTGCCATTGCTGCTGAAGTCATGGCTATCCGCATGACTATAAGAGATAGGTAGAGCAATCTGTTGATTCACTAAATAGTTGTCATGACCCTCAGCGATACGCCTACTAAAGCCGCTCATGTCGATGGACTGTTGCAGCTTCGCTGGTTGAACACCGTGTAAGCGTAGCTCGCAGACGAAGACGGGTGATGATTGTGGACATATGCCAGGTCTTCCTGATACCTGAAGACATGTCACGACAGAATAACTACACAAGAGGATGTACTGAGGAGAAAAATATAGACATAGAAAACTCACCCAGCTATCGATGTCTGGAAGACTTGTTCCTGAAGTGGGTAGATATTCAGGCAAATCGCTCGCATTTATGAATGGGGAAGCACCAAAGAGGGATTGGGGTAGAATCAATTGGAGCAGAAGAACACCTGGAGGTATTGAAATGAGCCAACAACTAAATATATGTCTGAAAGGTTCGAGCCCATCCCTGACCCAGCCCAGTATGACTCGCATGAAGAGAACTGCCATACTAAGTAAGAAGCCATAACAATTATATTCGGCAGGGATGCAAGGTCACCCCTGATGGAGGTTGGAAAGGGAACGAATACAGCTGCTGCAATCCCTGAAGGAAAAAAAAAAAAAAAAAAAAAAAAACGGAAAGACAGAAGCCAGAATCCTAAACATAAGTGTGTTGAAACGATAGATGCCCTAGGACCAGGTGAGGTCGATGCTTGAGCAGCTATGACGGTAGGCTACGACCAGCCTGTCAGGTACCATGTATGCAGAGGGGAGCTCCTTTGCAACAAAGCGCAGTGGGCTGCGGCATCAGAAGAACAAATATTCACGGCAACAGAGTTGGAGCTGTGAAAAGGACAGGGATCCAACGCTGGACTTTCAAGGAAACAGAAAGCAGGATAATGATATGAAGAAGGGAGGGGGTATCAGAATGGAAAGGGTCACATTGCCACTTTTGCATTATAGAATAGTCGGTCTGAACTTCTCTATGAGTTCATTGGCCAGCATATGAATGAGAGGAAGATCGAACAAGGTGATATTGACAGTATTGCTGTAAAGCTTGCTGCTCATGCTTGCAGAATAGTAGATAACACTCGGAATGTATCAGTACAGACCTACCAAACTTCTTAGTTGCTGATCTAGGCAATCATAATGAGATCGCATAGGTACTTGACCACCGACCACTGTCACTCTTAGGGTGGGGGAAAGAGAAGGCTCATCTGAATACCATGTCTGGGCAAGTAACCACTGCAGATATTTCTTGTCCTTGGACTTTTGTTTTTCATAGTGTTACAGGAAAGCGCTGCGAGGTTTGAACACTGTCAGCAACCGTCCTGAGATGTTTGTGCCTGTGTCTCATCTAGATGGATGGGAAATCAAACAATGGCACAATAGGACAAGTGATTCATCTCCAGTGATCAATAGTGACGGAGGTTTGATTGCTAGGTTCAGCTCGCGGGCATCTGAGTGCATGCCATGATTGCAGGCTGCAGGGCGCCTAGGAATGCGCAAATGTTTGCGTCGGGTCCTGTCGACACCATTGGACCATATACGTAGGAGTGTCTGGGAACACGAGCCTCGACAAGGCTCTTCGCTGCAGTTGTTGCTGGGGGCTCTCTACCCTCCAGTACTTATGCTTCCAGGTGCATCCGAAAAGCCGGCTGGCCCAAAAGAGATGAACTTTGCCGCTTAATAATAAACATCACTCATGCAGAGGATGGTTGACACATCATCATTGGACGGCACACGACGTGGTGAAAGGTTGCGGTCAGATTTCCTGCAGCAGAGTCTCGAACCTGGCTTTTTCCCGTTGTTTGCTTTTCTCCCAAAACCGCTGGAAAACCGACAAAAATATGATGGCGAAGCCGAACTGATTATGAGCATGGCCAAAACCAAAGACAAGTGCTCAATTTCATCTTGTGTCAAGCTGGACGATAATTATTGGTAATTCATCGACAATTTCCGGCCGATTGGCCGGACCGGGATCCGTGAGCAAATATGTATTGCCTGCAGTTCCATCAGTAGTAATTCGCTTGTTTCATTCCGTTTTCACATTGGAGGTTATATTGTTACCAGTCGGTAAGTCCAGTCAAGAAAGGCCTACGAACAGCCTCCTCTGGAGACTGCCCCCGCTCTTGTAGCCATTGGCGAGCTTGGTTCAAAGTCAACCATCATATATCTAGATGGTTGGCCCCCGTGCTCCGTACCTTAACTCACTAGAGAGGTATAAACATTGATTGTTATTTACACTAAGCTGTGGGGAGGAACGACGTTAGCGACCATCCAATTTGGAGCACCTGTCATTGCTCGATTGCCTACCCGGCAATCATTACAAGATCTCAGGTAATGGCTACCAGTGATGAGAGAGGTGAGAAGCAGAGGAGACTGACGAGATAGATATGGAAAGATGACGGCCTGAGTAGAAGTGGGAGAATAATGAATGTTGGTTCAAGTCGACAAACCGGCTACATACATGAGCCTAGACTTCTCTCGTCTGTTTAATGTTAGCGCGTCGTAAGGAAGAACTGGATTGATGTAATCTCATATCCGAGCTGTAGAATTCTTTCTGCTTGCGTTTTATGCTGTGTTTCTATGGGTGGTACACACATGTTTGTGTTAATTTTATCATGACCCCTCTTGTTTAAAGGTGCCTATCTATAGATCGTCCTTGGATCAATCAGCCCCAGCCTCTCCTATTTATCAATACTTTATCTCTGACTTATTATATGTGCCTTTGTTGTATGCACCTATTATGATCTACCGA